GGTCAGTTTTTGACCAACTTTGATTTTGATAAATCCGTCCATGGTTACTATGTTTCACTAATTCCCGAGGCTTTCTATGTACAGGATGATGATTGTGCATGGTGGGTGGACTCGAGCGCAGCATGCCATGTTTGCAAACATCGACGTTGGTTCAAGAAATTGACACCGGTTGAAGATGGATCTGTGCTAAACATGGGGAACAAGTCGACTGCACCGATTTGCGGGATTAGAGTAGTTAATTTAGAATATACTTCTGGAAATCATGTTAGACTAGATGATGTTTTATTTGTACCTAGAATTTGTAAGAATTTGGTGAGTTGTGGTTGCTTGAATAGCATTGGATATAAACAAGTTTTTGAATCAGATAGGTATATCCATTCTCGTTATGGTAGTTTTGTTGGTTTCAGTTACTTTTATAATAAAATCTTTCGTTTGAATTTGGTGAGTAATTTTTTAAATTCTGAAAATTCTGCATTTTTATCGTCTTCTTCTTCTAAAATTTACATGAGTCTGCATGAAATGTCAAAGGATGGATTGATTCCAGCCTTCGATATTTTTGCAGAAAAATGTAAGACTTGCATGCTCACGTAAGTTACAAAGCAGCCCTTTCCAATCATTGAAAGAAAATCGGCCATTTTGAAACTTGTACAAGTGATTTGTGTGATTTTCACTCTACTCCTTCATTGGGTAATAAGAGGTATGTTGTCACATTTAGACAACACTCGGTTTTGCTACGTCTCTCTTTTGCATGCTAAAAGACGAAGTGTTAGATAAATTTAAAATTTATAAAACCGAGGTTGAAATACAAATGGGTAATTCGATTAAGTGTCTCGGAATCGGTTGGGGAGGGGAATATATGGATCCCCAATTCTTCCAAACAGTTGGTATTATTCATGAGACAACGGCACCATACACACCTCAACAGAACGAAGTTTGCGAATGTAAAAATCGAGTTTTAAAGGAAATGATAAACTCGATGCTTTCTTACTCGGGATTGAGTGAGGGATTTTGGGGAGAAGCCATGTTAACGGCCTGTTATGTTTTGAATAGAGTTCCAAACAAATGGAACAAAACCACCCCATATGAACTTTGGTTCAAGAGAACTCCGAATTTGACTTATTTTCGAATTTGGGGTTGTCGGGCTGTTGTAAAACTGCCGAACCCAAAAGGACGACTTTGGGCGAACGTGGAAATGACTATACACTTATTGGATATGCAGAAAATTCCAAGGCTTATAGGTTCTATGTAATAGAACCTAATGATTCGGTATCGATAAATACCGTTATCGAGTTGCGGGATGCGATTTTTGATGAGATGCGGTTCTCATCAATGCAAAAGCCTAAGGACCTAATTCCAAGCACTGATAAAGTGCAAAATCCAGAATTTTTGGCTGGTGTTTCAAGTCCCAAAACACAGCAGGTCCGGAGAAGCAAAAGAGGCCGAATAGCCAAAAATTTCGGTCCCGATTTCCAACTCTATTTGGTGGAAGGATCAAGGGATGAACTTGGGCTTCAATACTCTTACTGTTATTGAGGATGATCCAAAGACCTTCCAAGAAGCGATGGAATCTCGAGATGCCATCTTTTGGAAGGAAGCAACTGATGACAAAATGTCATCAATTCTTGAAAATAACACATGGGTGTTATCAGATTGTTATCAGATTTGCCTCTAGGTTCTAAACCTCTTGGATGCAAATGGATCTTCAAAAAGAAGATGAAATTGGATGGGACAATTGATAAAATTCAAGGCCCGGTTAGTCATTCAAGGGTTTCGGCAAAAACCCAGTATTGACTATTTCGATATGTATGCTCCGGTAGTATGTAATTTGACTATTAGATTGTTAATCGCCTTGGTGGCAATACACAATCTGATTATCCATCAAATCGATGTGAAGATAGCCTTCTTGAATGGTGATCTTCATGAGGAAGTTTATATGAAACAACCAGAAGGCTTCGTTATGCCCGGAAATGAGCATAAAGTACGTAAATTGGTAAAATCATTGTATGGGCTGAAACAAGCGCCTAAATAATGGCATCAAAAGTTTGATGAAGTTACCTTGTCATGTGGTTTTGCATTAAACCAAAGTGACAAATGTATTAATAGCAGATTTGATGCTAAAGGAGCTGGTGTGATCATCTGCTTGTATGTAGATGACATGCTGATTTTTGGAACTGATCAAAATCAGGTAGATGAAACTAAGAAATTGTTGTCATCTAATTTTTCCATGAAAGACATGGGAGAGGCTGATGTAATTCTTGGTATAAGAATTAACGGGATAACAAAGGGATTGTAATGACACAGTCTCATTATATTGAGAAAATTCTCAAGAAGTTCAATTATAGTGATTGTTCTCTCGTAAGCATGCCTGTGGATCCTAGTGTGAAATTAATGTCAAATACAGGCATGTCCATTTCACAACTAGAATACTCTAAGGCCATTGGTAGCTTGATGTATGCCATGACAAGCATAGCCCCGACATAGCATATGTTGTGGGACGGTTGAGTAGGTACACTAGCAATCCTAGTACTCAACATTGGCAAGTGGTTCAAAGAGTATTTAATTACCTTAAAGGAACCATGAATTATGGTTTGAGTTACTTGGGATATCCTTCGGTTTTAGAGGGTTATTCGGATGCAAGTTGGATATCCAACATAGAGGACCACTCCTCAACAAGTGGTCGGGTATTTTTGCTTGGGGGAGGTGCCATCTCTTGGGCATCCAATAAGCAAACTTGTATCACGAATTCAACAATGAAATTTGAGTTTGTGGCATTAGCTGCTGTTGCTAAAGAGGCATAATGGCTAAAGAATTTGATTTATGAGATTCCATTGTGGTCAAAGCCGATTGCACCTATTTCTATTCATTGCGATAGTGCAGCCACGTTATCCAAAGCTTATAGCCAAGTTTATAATGGCAAGTCTAGACACCTGGGTATTAGACATAGCATGAGTAGAGAATTGATCATGAATGGGGTAATTTATGTTGAGTTTGTTAGAACGCAACAGAATTTAGCAGATCATTTAAATAAAGGTCTGACTAGAGACTTAGTGCACAAGTCTGCTATTGGGATGGGATTAAAGTCCTTATAAATTTATAATGGTGAGACACCCGATTCCCTTCTAATATGACATTGGAAGTTGATTTCAATGTGGAAAGGTCACACTTATAAATTGGAACACAAGATTGATTCATCCCGGGTTTGTGCTCGATACTGCAATGGGATGGTTGAAGCTTATCTTCTTAATAATTCCTTTTATAAAGTGTATATGCATATACATGTGTAAAGAAATTACCTATGTGATTGTGAAGTGTAGCCGCACTTCAACAGGGTTGGGGACTTGGCCCTCTATACAATCATGAGAGGATTAGGACAAACGGCTTTATAATAGTGTCAGTTTATTTTGCTGAAAGAGTATTGTAAACTTATATGTATTTTATCTTTAGGTATTCAAATGAGTTGATGGGTTAAATCCTTAGGACACCTTGATTCTCGAATATTTGAAATGTGTAAAATGCTAACATGGAAATTCAATCGATTCGATATTTTCATTTATGTGTAAGTTTGGTTTGTTTATTTTAAAGTGTTATTTCATGGGTTACACTAAAATGGGGGAGGATTGTTGGTAATTTTAGTGTCACCAGGCTATTTAAGTGTAATTGGAAGTAATATCGAGTTCTAAGGGGGCTTTATACTGTGTTCTAATACAAGTCAAGAGGTGTGGAGTGCACACTTGTTATAAGACGAGTATGACTCTGTTGGGAGTTAAGGAGCAGCACCCCTTGCATTGTGGTGGAAAATTAATCATAAGGACCAGAGGAGGGGATCTGATCGGCCTTGCCTCTGGTTGTTAAAAACGGCCTTGAGTCTAGTTGTTAAGAACCAGAGGCTCTGGTTGGTAAGACCAAAGGCTCTGGTTGGTAAGACCAAAGGCTCTGGTTCCTTTGCCTCTGGTTGTTAAGGACCAGAGGCTCTGGTTGGTAAGACCTGAGAGGCTCTGGTTCTTTGCTTATGATTGCTAAGACTTTCCTCTGGTCCAAAGAAGCTCTGGTTCCTTGTCTCTGGTTGTTAAGGACCAAAGGCTCTAGTTCCTTTCTTATGATTGCTAAGACTTGCCTCTGGATGGTAAGACCAAAGGGGCTCTGGTTCGTCTTGTCTCTGGCTTCATGTCTGGAACAGTTAGAACAGTTTTGTAACTGTCCACTACCATTAATGAGCAGTTTTTGTAACTGTCCACTACTTCTAATGTGTAGTTTTATAACTGTCCACTACTCCTAAACTTAAGCCATGATTATCATTTTGGTAACTTTTATGAGCATAAATAACTTTTATGTTTATGTTTTTACACACGGTTTTTGAACAATCCTATATATATTCTCCAGCAAGTTTGCTCTCGTTTTTGTGCCTAAAAGCAAAAGTGCTCTCTTGAGTCTTATCCCATATTGAATTTCGTGTAACCCAGGCATAGGGTCAAAATATCAATTTGGAATGTGATCTCTTGCACGATTCTCAAGTAATCCGGTTCTTGATCTACTACCCTTTATGGTCCTACTTTTTCCTAACATATTCCTCTTGTATACAAGAAAACATACGTGTTCTATTGCTTTACCGCATATCTTTAGGTCGTTTAGTGGTTTCATACTCTTCCGAACTTCATTTCTTATTATTTCTTTCATTTCTTTCAAACTTTAGACAAACTTCCAGAGTTGCTTAAAACTCCCCGGAAACTCTGCACAATCTTTTTGCAAGCCGGGGGTCTTCATGGAAACATCTTTTCTCCTTGGGATAGAGGTAAAGGTAAGGTCCACATACATCATACCCTCTCCATACCCTACAACATGTTGGATATATTGCTTTCATCTAGCTTATTTTTTAACTACTACAAACAAGCAGTGAAACCCCACTGCACTATATCTAACAAAGATGCAAGAAAGTTGGTGTATGCCATTTCACATATGACAAATTAAATATGTCAAATTCTACAAGAAAATGAGGAGCATACCACCAGTGATTGCCATTAAGGTTCCACCGGTTATAGCAGCTGCTCCAATCAGACCTCCACGTTTCCACTTCTCCCATGATTCATCTGAGATATTCTCGTTTTGTTTTTCACCATCTTGTTTCAATACAGCCATTGCAGAACAAGAAATAACCACCTCAATCGCTTCCTGGAAAAATATCACCATTTAGAAAAATAATATCGGATGCAGTACTGACATCAACAGAGAACACAATATCGTATGGCATCCTTGATTGGATTACAAGTAGATGTTTCAGTGCAAAACAGATGACAAAAGTCACCACCAAGTCAATATATGAACAAATGCTAAATTGGTAAGAGGGTGATTGAACAAGTAGTTTGACTGTTCCAACAGTTCATCAATAGCAGAGAATAGTTGATTTGCTAATTCAAAATCATGTGAAGGACTAGTTTGACAATGCAACAATATATAAAGCGTTAAAAGCAGAAAGATGTAAAGCTATATATTGACTTCCAAATTAGTTTGTATAAGTAATCTTTTCTGAGCATGACTGTCTTTCAAGTTATTGAGGAGGTAGTGAAGTAACAGATAATTCTCTATACAGGGTTGCAGTGATATGCTTGATATGACTACAGTGAACAAAAGAGCCCCAACCCACAGAAGATTAAAGGCTGTTATCATGAAGTAGTAGATTCGACACTTAGAATAGAACAAGCTTTGATCCTTTATCAGCTTAAGCCTGTAAGTTGCACGACTAAAACTGTATATATGTCTTCACTAAAAATCTATGATCTAGAAAACTCAATTTTATGGTCACAACTCTCTGTCCAATTTAAGGATAGAAATGCAAGTTCTTACAACGTTCATGATGACCAAAAAGAGTGGTTGTGCTGCCTATAGGTTCATGCAAGTATTGATGGAGATATACAGAATGTCTAAAGTGAATGTGAAACCATGCACATGGACATGCACCCCTGCATATATCATTTGACCACACAGGAAGACAAACCATGTTGATCCACTTGATATCAAACCACGTTGTCAGCAACCTCAAGGCAGCACGATGACGAGCATCATACCCCTTTGGTGGTCGTTCAGATTTCTTGTCATCCTTGGGTGTATCTGCCAGACAAGCTGAAAGAAGCTCATATAAGACAGCGACTTTTCTTTTGTTATCAATCATCCCCGCCTCTTCAAAGGTTTTTTCTTCAACTTCTTTACTGGATGCAGTAGGTACTTGTTCAGCCTTAGGCGACTTGCAATCTTTCTGTTGCTTCTTTTGAAGGTGCTCCTTTGTTTCAGCCATTGATTCATTAACAGCGAACTTTTCCCGCCACTCATGTGCATATACACGATGCTTCTCTTTTGTGTGCTCAAACTGTTCTGGGGATTTTTCTATGCTTGATACCATTGCGTCTACAGCTTTGGACAATGCAAGTTCCTGATCTGACACTTCGGGAGAAGGAGCATCACTTTCTTCTGCAAGTTCTCGTAAGAACTGTAACAATATCAACAATGTCGGTTATAAAGTAAAATAGTGGAGTTTTTCAAAGCAACAAACCAAGAAACATCAATGCTGTAGGGCCATAATGTAAGTTATTACCACATAATGAAAGTTTACAACACTTAATTTACTGATTAAATGTGTAATCAGTGTATTATAAGTGTGGTTATAAGACATAAGAATTGACAAATTTGCCCATAATCCTCTTTCATAACAACCAAAATGTAGTCAAAGAGTTTAAAAGGGGGAGCAAGAGCATTAACAGGGTGGTTTCCACCTACAAGCTTGATTCAGATTTAAAAAGCATGGTCAAGCAGAAAATTTACTTCCGAAAATAATCCACCAAGTAACTAATAATCTACCATTTCCAAATATGTTATACTGATTCTTAAATGAAAAAGCTATATTCATGAACTAACACAAGTAGAATCATGTCAATCAAATTGACTGTATAAGTTTTAATTCAAGATTACAAGCATAAAAATTTAAACATGAATAAGGCTAAAGAACATAATGATGACGACATCTTCTAGAGATAAAACTATGATGAATAATATACTAGTAATTAGAAATCCACTAAGTATTTAAAGGAAAATGTATAGTTCTAGTGAAAATTTGACAAATTGCAATAGAAAAGTTTCTGAAAGTTCCCCTAATCCCTTGCACTGTCAGATATTCCAGCCTTAAAGCATGTAAGTCACATTTGATCTCTTTAGTTGGCACCATAATTAACAAACAAACCCAGCTCGAAGAACAATAATCATGGTGTGATATATGTAAGAACTCAGCTTACTCACATAAGCACTGTTAATGCTAAAATGTAAGTGGACACCAAGTACAAAACCAATGTGAATTATAGGGGAGAAATGATGCTAGCCCTTTTTTCCTTCGATGACAGATATTGAAATGGATAAAGTGGATTCTCCCTAATGGTGAAATGAGACTGAGGTTTGTCAACTACATGGCTACCTCATACATGCTCCAGCCCTGGAACTCCGTATCCATTTAAAACTTGCACTCTCGATTTCATCGGGTGGCTCATAGTCTCAAGAACAACAAGTTTTCCAACTGTCACACAACTCCATATGGAAACTGAAAATCATAAACTAGTAGAAAGAACCCCAATAAAAGCATGAACTGAACAATGAACAACTTAATTTACTTTTAGATGATAACTTGATATGCCTTCCTTTTCAAACTATTCCAGAGTACACTTCTGTGATCACCCTCCAACAGCACTTAACAACCATAATTGCATCACAAACTTGATGCAGGTCGCATGCTTAGTTTTATGTCTTTTGATAATTCATCCAAACACCTATGTCTATTATTATTATTATAGATACATACATACATATATATATATATATATATATATCATTCTATTACTTCTAAGTGAATGTTTCTAAAATGTCTGAATGTCATCCAATATATAGATCACAAAAATGATATTTTCTTGTATGCAAGATGTTGAGAGGAGAAGCATCAGTTGCTGAGTCATATTACTAGTCAACATTTTCTTCTACTACAAAAGTGTGAAGTAACATACTGATCCAACATGACGCTTCACAAAAGAAGTGGTAGCAGTTGTCTCCAGATCAGGCCAGGCTGCACTGTCAATATCTAGGAACCTGTTCTTGACAAAGATGCACATATGAAACATATCACCATCACAAGCACAAAAGATGCAACCAGTCTCTCATACGTTGTACAACAAAATTTAGAATTATTACCTGCACGTATGTTACACTCCATGCTTAGGAGTACGACCATGGAAAACAACAATATGGGTAAATTATCATGAGGTCGCCTTATAAAGGTATCCTCACACATTATCTTCCATAGTTCTCAAAACAAGTCAATTTGTTCAAATTACATATTGGGTAGCATTTAGATTACATATACGAGAAAATACTCAAAACGTCGTAAAAGCTTCTTTGCATAATGCAATTATGTCATGATATTTAGTTTGGTGGTATTTGGTCCATATTCTAGGAGGTAGTCATGGGTTGGAATCCCCATTTTTCTTTACCTACTGAAAATAATAAAGAAGAAAAAAAATGCATATTGAATTGTATTTTGTTTGGCATATAAACTCGTGTCCATACATTTCTTTGTGTGCTTTATTAACTACAGTTAATTGATTCTACTTCTCGTTCCTCCAAATGGGATTGAAGACGAGTTCAAAGACAATGCACGCAAAAGGATTTGTCCTCTGATCCACTCCAGCAATAATAAAGCTTGGTTGAGAGAGACAGTATCCAATAAGTGAGATGAGGTGTTAAAGTCATCTAAGAATTGTGTTTGATCCTTCTTATAGATTGTCCAGATACACAAACTGTTATTTGTCTTAAGATATCAGTAGTTAGTGCCTACAGTGAGTTGTTCTTATGAGCAGATGGATTTGTTGCTCTAGAAATCTTTAGCAGACTATTTGTGCCTTCTGTTAGACTAGGGTCTTTAGTCTGTATTTAGTGGCCAGTAGACCCAAATATCCAATTAGGCCTCTCTGTGTCTCCGACCCCATGATCTTCATAGCGGTATCCAGAAATTTTGAATCCTTAGCTTATAAATAACCCTCGTCATTACATAATCAGATACTCCAACCATTCGGAAGTGAACCTCAATCCCCAAAATTGATTAGGCTTAGGGTACGCTACGCTTTTCTGGTGAACATTGAAACTTGAGGAAATTGCCAATTGGGACAATATACCGGGGAAGGAACTCTTATTTTGCAACAATCTTTCAGAATTGGAACATTTTCATCACTATCATACATCAATTTTATCGGAATCTAGCATTTAGATTGAAACAAAAGTTAGTGTAATTGAAGAATCAAACCTAAAGACGGGACGGAGCAGTCCGGAGGACTCGTGGACCCAAAGGCGACGTTCGTTGGAGAAAGAATCGGCACTGATTACATTACCTAGGGGACGGGTCTGGTGGATCTGTACCTGGTTTAGGGCTAAAGCAAATAATCCTGCGGCGGCGCGTTTCTTCGTCCGCATTAACGTCGACGACATTTTCACGGCCGATTGCAAAATAGCTACCACCTTTGCATGTCTTTGTTTTGCTGACTCGCAACAATTCCTCTCTAACACAAAAAAAAAAAAAACCAATTAATGCATAATGTTTAAATAAATTAATATATAGATTTACATTTATATAACTAATACATCTCAATCTCAACCATTCATTTAATTTAATAAATATGTGATTTCATAAGAGTTTAGATTGTTTCTTAATATAAAGTATTGATCATAATTAATGAATCATAATCATCTTCCATAAATATTTAAATCATAATAAATGAACTCTCATCATTTTCATAAATATCTCAATTGATTGGGTTGCATTGATTATCACCCATACTTTAAAACTTTCACCATATAATCATGATTTGTATTCTTGTCAAATTGCACTATACAATTCAGTTTGCGATTTTGAATTAAAAATCACAATAAAAACCACACCGCAAATTATTTTCATAAGACGGATGAAAAGGTGTTCTTTAATTGAAAGAGACATGTATGTAATAAACTTCACATTCTACATAAAACTTTTAAAATTTTACTGAATAAGTCATTATCTATATCATTAAGCTACTATCAAACAGTCATGTATAACTGATCGAATAAGAAAATTAAACTTAAACGATAAACAAAATTTTAAAACAAATCATACCAAAGAAATTAATATTTTAATATCTTCTTTTCATCTGGTTTTTCATGCTGACCGTACACTACCCTCCCATATATAAATATTATTTTTCTTTTACTAAAAAACTGAACCCGAAATGAAATTGTATTTTGATGGCCTGCACGTAATTTTAATCTGAGACCAGTTACATTAACAACTGCACATATTCAGCAGACTTCACTTGACAACACGCCTTATATATATATATATTATATTTATATAACTGATTATACAAAAAAAAGGTCCAACAGGCCGCCGGAAACCACCCTCTCATGGGTGCAGATACTTGCAGGAGGCTCCCTTCTTGCACCTCCCACTCTCATAAAATTTACACACACGCTGCTGCTGCTGCTGCCCTTTAGCTGGTGGTGACTGCCGTGAATAACCGCCAGCGCCACCACCATTACCGCTACCAAATGAAGGCTGCTTGTTCCATCCACTCCTACTGCTCCTGCTACATCCACCCTCCTCAACCGGATGCTGCTGACTATTACTACTGTTATACCTCTCACCGCTGCCATACCTCCGATGGTTCTGGTTCTCGTTTGCCTCCCATCCTATGTTTCCACTCCGACCTGAGTCATTCGCTTTACCCTCTGATCCCCACCCACGCAGGTCAAACGGGTCCAATCCCAAAGTCAAAGGCGGCGCTGGTGGCGGTGGTGGCGGCTGGAAAAATCTGTCGTCTTCCTCTTTATCCAGAATATTACCAACTCTCATGTGGTTGCTTGCACCGGCGGTCTTTGGTGCTCGCATAGGTTCAGCGGTGGACTTCAAATCTCCCGTCGACTCCGCCTGTAGTATAATGCCACCACCATCTGCCCCGGCATGGCTGGAACCACCACGGTTTTGAAACGTATCAAGGGGTGCAACCGGCTGAATGTAATTCCCATTCTCCACCTTCACTTTCACTACATCACTGGTTTTGGTTTCCATCTCTCCTTCTTCGCCTTCAGCCTTAGCTGACCTGTTTATATCAATCATATTCTGTGGGTCCCGCTCCATTTCCGGCCACTCAAAAACCATGTTCTCCGAATTTGTTCTCTGAGGAATACCAATTGAGGCCTGACCATCTATTTCATGGCTGATAAAGGAATGAAGCTGCAAGCCGTTGGACGTCTTCATAAGATCGAAGGCGTTAATATTGTTACCTCGAGAGGAGCCACCGACCAGGTGTTCATCGGTGGTGGTGGTGGTGGTGGATTGGCAAGGCAGTTGTATATCTCCACTAGAGCTAAAGCCATCACTTCTCGTACCCTGATCAGGGGTCGGACTGAACTCATCAAAGGATCCGTTAAATAGATCGTCAACAAAACTGTTCCTCCTTGAAGTAGGGGATGGCAATCCATATTGTGACTCCATAGCATCGACTTCTGCCAATAGATCCGAAACTGATTCCTCTGCCAAAGTGCTGAACTCGATCATTTCACCCATTCCATGCCACGTCGGCAAATCGTTACACGGTTGTGATGATTGAATATTTTGGTCGATGTTGGAGGTCGGAGTAGCAACATGATCTCCCGCCACCTCTAGAGGTTTAAAAGAAGAGACCGATACAAGACCCGAGTCCCATTCTTCACGTTTGACCGGAGTCGAAGAACATCCACCCCATCCATCAGCCGAAACCGGAAGTTTGGCCCCACCAACTACTAGACTCGAAGCACTACTCCAGCTTGGAGGGTTCCCGGAATCTTGAATCAATAGTTTCGAATCCGGCAGTGATTGCATCTTCTCATCTTCAACGATCGCCTTCTTTGGTGTAGGACCTGGCAAATCGAAGAGTGCTGCATCGGCATCCTTACATACAGTAGAAACATGCTTAATATCGGCTTCATTTCTCACTGTTCCCATAGGCATATTTGCGTCGTTCAGTTGCCCGGTTGACTCGTTTGACAAAGTCAAAGAAGCAACACTTGTGGGATTACCGTTCAAGTTATTATTCGCACTCCAGTTCTGTCCAAAAGATTGGCCAGAGGAACCATGACTATCGGATAACTTTTCATGATTGACGGGATCCGGAGCATATGGAGTCACAGCAACGGCGGCAGAGGGAATTGCACTGCAAACATTGAGACCCTCGGTTTGATTACCAGTTTTGTTACTCGTGATTATATTCTCGCTTTGGTGGGCATCGTGGTTGTGAAGCTGCTCTTTCAGCACATCGGTCAAAAGTAGTGACTTGTCCTCGTGGCTTGCCCATACCATCATATCAGTCGGGAAGTATCCGGTTGTGCTCCACCTCTGAAGCTGTAAAATAGAAAACGGCCCTTGAACTTTTCCATATGGATCAAGATAATGCCACAGTAAGTCATTCGGAGATGAGGTCTTCTCGGTGGAGTGAGATGAAGCTATTGTTTCCGGCGCACTGTTGGATACTGTCGAGCTAAATGTGGCTTGATGATCCGATTTGGTAATTGTTGAACCATTACAATCAGGCTCGTTTTGTGATTTCGCCAAAGTTGAAGGAACGAGATCTTTAGTAGATCCATCTTCAACATTTTTGCTTTTGGATCGCTCGTTTTTCCGTGATTTGTTGTTAGTGGCATTTGATCGTGCTGCTCTCTTTTTAGGCGAGCGTGAATTCTTGCTGCTGACCCGAGAATATTTGGACTCCATATGATCTCCTGTAGAGTTCAATGACACCACTGCTTATTGAATACTGACGGTAGGAATAAATACAAATATCAAGTATAATATGAAATCATTATGCTGAAAGGTATCGAACAAACCATGTTCTTTGTTGAAATACTCTTCAGTGTCATCCGATTCATAATGCGGATTCATTTTTGGATCAGAACGAATCACTGGAATTTCCTTTAATCTGCGCTCTCGTTCATCAGGTGAATTCAGAAGTTGGAGCTTCTCCACACATTCTCTATAAGTAGGGGTAGTCAAGAAATTACTTGGAATTAAAGACCCTATGATCAATTACTAAATGGATGTGAACTACTACCCTACAGACCCGAACGAGTTATTTAGGAGAATGAACTTCTGACAGATTCTTTTGAAATTCATGGTCTTTTGACAGTTTTAAGAATGCATCTGCCTAATCGCAAGAATGCCTCAAAATCTGTCAGAAGGTAATGCAATTTCAAATATCAGAAGATCATTCTTCTAAATAACCCAGATCGCAACCACTCCATATGCTCAAGAATGATTAGAGCTTCAGTAGGCGACCCCACGTTTCTATCACATTAACCAGATTTTGAATCTTGAGTTATTGGACAGGTAAGGTTCAATCTTATGTGTCTCTAACTCTAACTCACTGTACTTTATGTTCTAATTATTTTGGACTTGTATTCCAGGGTAATATGAGCCAACTCAACTGATCTTTGAACTTGGATCCTAAACCTCAAGTACCAATGTAAAAGGAAATTTCTGAGATATTATCATGTGACTGAACCACATCAAACTTATCACTGATTGAAATCTGTTCTTAAGTTATCAAACACAAATCAAATCCAAGAGTTCCATTTATAGTTTAGGGTTTAGGAGGATCAGGTTTTGGATCGCATTTAACCAACTCAAATAGACCCGCATGCACATCATCTTTCTAACTCTCTCCAATTATCTTCCCCAATTTGCTACTTCAAAGTTAAAAGTTATCAGGCAATCAATTCTATAAAGAGAACAAAAATATCAAGAAATACTGTCACAAAAGGATATCTCTTCTTATGCCCTTTCTCGCTTGCTGCATCACGGGCATGATTGAGTCGCAATATCTCCTTCTCAGTCCACTGAATTACACAAGAAAGAGGAAAATAATCAAATATAGTAATACAAAGCTACAGACACCAAACTTTATTAAGCCAACTTGAAAAACCATATATGAACTCTATCATCGTTAAGAACATTTAATAGAAAACAAATCTAAGCGACTATCAAAAAGCTCATGCACCACCACATGAAGCCAAATAACTCACATCATTTAACTTGACTGGCTGTAGGGCCACTGCCTTTTCTTGTATCTCACCCTGAAACAAGCAAGAAGGTGGCATAAATGAGGGTAATAGAAACTGAAATTTGGCGAAAAGTTAAGAATAAAGTTTGGATGGCCATGCGGACTTACTACAATAAAGTGTTTTACAAGCCCACATTGTATACTTTGTTGCAGTCGTCTGCATTCTTCCTGAAAACATTGTAGACAAATGTTATTACAAACATCAAGAAATTGTTTGAAAAGGGGCGGATAGAATCAATGAAGTTCACAATTTCAGAAGTTTATAAGAATAAAAAAACTACAGCCTCTATCCAGGGCTTCACCAGCAGGAGGAAAAATAAAGAATCCCAATTATTTAATCATATATTCCCTCCGTTCATAATAAATGCCCACAATGAAAAAGGCATACAATTTTTAAAATGTGTAATTATTACACTTTTTGATTGATTTAAAGAGAATTTTACCCTTAATAATAAAGGCAGTAATGAATTTCTCCATCTCATAATTAACAGTAGAACTGGAAAGTAGGTATTTAGTTTTGAAAGTGGACACTTATTTTGGAAAGGAGGGAGTATTAGGTAACATGGTGATAGAAAACTGTAGAAGATATGCTACTTCCAAGACTTAACATCAGGTCCTAAGCATACATGTAAACTTTTTTATAGCCACTGAAAGGTTTTTGATTATTCAGCAACAAAGTTTCTATTTTAAAATCTCTTTGGCTGCTGAATAAGGTAAACTAGCTAAAATACCATCCAACATATTAATATATCCTTTCTAATGAAGAAAAATTCCTAACATGCATATTGGCAGCATTATGTAGACTCTTTGTGAGCAGTCAAGTATGTCAACATCCAGTCAAGTAAGTCCATGTATGGCAAAGAAAATACCAACTGTTTGACGTCTGACAATAATATGCATGCTCTTGTCAGTAATCAAGAGTCTACTAGAACAGCTGATTTTTGTGAATTCTTTTAGAAGGGTATAAATAAAATATATGTAGTGTGCATATAAGTGATAGTTGAGGCAGAAGAAACAGGTGTCTTGCAAGTTCTAACCCACGTATGGTCCATAACACTTTTTGGGTAGGGCCTACAAATTATTGTATCCATCGCCCTCCACCTAAACTATCAGTCATGGTGAGAGCGCCCCATTCCCTTTTATGTATGTCCGATATCTATTGTGAGCAAAACAAATGAACGAAAGAGTAGAAAACCTAATTACTCACCTCAGTAAATTCTTGGTCTGAAACTGTATCAATCGATATAGTCTCCTTCTTGTCTAAATTTAATACTTCAAGCATAATGTCTGCTAATTTGCTGTCAACCTTATACGGTACATCCACCTTACTAGTACCTGCAGATGTTGGTTGTAAACTTTAGATGATAAACAATTTGAAGCTCGTAGAACAGTTCTTGTAAATGTAGCTTAAAATTATTACCTACAACTTGGACAAGTCTGTACATGTCATGCTTCAAATCACTACCAGATATTCTTATTCGCACAAGTGATCCAACCACCTTATCATGAAAATTTTCAGTGTCTTCAAGAAGTTTTTCCATCAAATCACGCCGCAGGTATAGTAAATTCATATTGTGGACATCCACAGCAGCAAAATCATCCAATCTATTCTGTACTACTCGTCCTTCACCCTTACTACGATTTCTAGGTTTCCTATCTTTACTTACCATCAGCATGTTGGCATGGTTCCAATTAGCATCATCCTGTACTGCATTACTGTTGACAGTGCTCTTCTGTGAGTCCTCTTTAATGAGAAAATGGCGTTCCAGAAGCTTCCGCATTTGATTGTGACCAACTCGTGGCTTTCCAAAGATATTCTTTAACCGCACATCACATATGATTTGGTTTTTCTTTCTAGGATCATGAAGATTATTTATTTTTATGTACTCAATCATAAGTGCCTGGACATCAAGCTGAGATACTACAGATGTATCACCGTTCTTCATATGTGCAATAAAATCCAACAGCTCTTTGGTTGCCCACTCCTTGCATTCAACCATAGTCAGGCTATCATCATTCCCCACTTTTTCCGTATTTACAGTTTCCTTAGGGAGTATATTGACCTGCTCATCTATCTTTCTTCTTTTAGATTCATTTGCCTCCGCATTACCAAAAGATGCTGCTGATGTAATGCTCCTCAAGTCATTGGCTCTATTATGTACACCAGTTGATGGAAGAGCTGAAGACACTGTACTAGCTCCGTTCGAGCGCTTTTTGGATGCAATAAGTTCATCCACAGTCAAAGATAAGTTTCCTTTTAAGAAGACCCAATATACCTTGAAGAGATACTCCCAACTAAGTTTGTCATCAAAATCTGCTTCAACCTGGACAGTTTACAGACAATTATAACATGTAAGGGAAAGTAAAAGATCATTTAGAGAACAAGTGCACAACGAAGTGCTGCAATCACAGATGTTTCATCGAGAAACTAATTTACAACATCGTTCAAGCCATCCCAAATCAGCTCAAAAGAGCTTTAACATCTAGAACGTCAACAAAATGACAACATGTAATTAATGCTCAAGTTCCTTCCATGACAGATCATGCGGGCTTCTGTTATCATCATAATTTCCATTTGTATGTTAAACATTATAAATCTATAATAAAAACGATTGTTGACTCTAACAAGTAGTAAAATGGCAAGAAGAAATACTGCACCGGTACACCCATGCAAATTAAACATATGTGTAAGATCTGACAAAAATAGATAAAAGATCTAGTGAATATTTGAAAGGAAGAGAGAAGGAATAACAAGAGTGCAATCATGCATCAATATGACGAGATCCGCTTTCCCTTACAGATAACGGCAATGAAGATGAATAGCATCTAATTCACGGATATGAAACAGTGTAATAAAGTGACATAACTTTCATGACACCAAGAAACAAGGGAAAAATCTAGGATCTTTAAAAACAGTAGGATAATATGGTGAACCAACCAAAATGTTCATCCTAGTAAATAAAGGTAAACACTCCCAATAACTTTTTGAATGCTGGTCTAGATATGGCGTATATTATCTCGATTCAATCAAGCCTCAACAAAATCACGTCACATAACTAATAAGTTTTTGGAAGACCATCACCCTCTTTAAGACCAATTTATTAGATAGATAAGAAACTATAGATGCAATACATAATATAAGATTGTTGCTTCATCGATCCTCAGTTGGAACATTACGAGCTTTACTGATTGGTCTCACTTGACATCTTCAGCAATGGACATAATTCAAAAAAGAGTTAAGCAGAGTTAGGCAGTGGATTAACTTTAATAAAATATGGCTACAGCTTAACTGCATAAGCAGGGATTATGCAGACAGTTAAGCGGAAGCATAAGCCATTAGTTTAAATAGATAAAGAGTTATTTTTATTCAGATTTCCTAAGCATATGAAGATCGAACTTCAATAGAATGTAATTTTGATACAATTCCTTTTCTGAATGAATAGTTAAACTGTTTCATTGACACCACTACTTAGGTAAGACATGAAAGGTTCCCCAAAGGTTTAGAAAAGTCTATAAAACAAGTTCACAAAACGTTGTTTAATCCGTGTTAGTTTTTTCAAAAAGCGTATTTCAATGATTATTTGCTAATCGCAGTGGTGGAGGGCAGGTAAGTCCTAGGTGGCCAGTTAAGCAGCCCTAACTAATCAAAGCAGTGAGCGCACTTAACAACTAGGTAGCTGCTTAACCATCCGTAAGCAAGAACTTTTAGAACACTGGCATTGAACAATGTTTGTCTATGATTAGAATGATGCATATAAACCAATAAAGGATACCAATGCATGAGTAAAGCCTATACTGGTTGTGTATTGATACTTGCTTGAAAACATTTTTAACCCAGTGCATTTCATTTTGAGATGGCCGTTTAAACAAACATTATCCTTTCATTCTTCTATAGCAGATATGGTCCATGCATTGATTTGGCTTCAGCCTCCAACATGTAAATATTGAAATTTCAAGTTGGATACATGATCTAAATATGCAAAAATGTAGAAAAATCTTGCCTACCTAACATAAGAGAAGCATGCTTTGTGGAACATATTACGTACAACATATAAAATTATCAGTATACTAGGCGATAAGATTTTGCATACCTTTCCATCCTCTCCCTGGCCATTATTTTCAATCAGCATGATCGTTTTCATGCATATAGTGCAAAAGCCTTTATCATTTCTGACACCCACATAATCAGACTTTTTGATGCAAGCTTTGCACAATGAAAATGTACACGTATAGCACATATGATGTGCGGCCTTCTGGCATAAACTACATATATGCCAACCTGAAATTCATATAAATACCAAAATATTAGCAAATTCTGCAACCTACTCTACTATTATTTACAGTTGATTGCCACCCATTTGATTAGATAATAGACAGATAACAAAAAAAGTAGAATGCCAGGCTATTAGAAAATCAGTTCAAAGTTAAAATGCTAACCTGGATATAATACATGAGATTCTCTCATAAAAACTGTGTTTGCCAATGTTACTAATTAAATCCATATATGATTTTGAGAAGTGTCAAATGAAGGATAAACCAGAAAAGGTGTAGAATTATGCATCAAGGCACTATTCTGACGTCAAAGACAAAAAAGCATTCTTCACTACTAAGGTGCCATTTGGCTCTTCTTATCTGTTTCAGTTCACTAGAAAACAAGAAGACAATCCTCTTGCCCACTATCGGTTGATCCTCAGACCTTCCCCTCCTCTTCTGTCAACTAAATGGATTTTGTTCGATTTGGCAAGTGACCATAGAATACTTAATAGCCTGTTGGTTAAATGGCTACATTCTGAAAACCTCAATATCAAGTTTAAGGAGCTTTAAAAACGCAACAGGCGGTGTGACCGTGTGAAAATAACCCATTTGATCAGACTTTTAAGTTTTAACTTCAGATCTGGTTACTGTCAAAATATGTGTTTGTCATTCTCCAATGACCCCTTTCGCAAGGACCCCCTTTCAGAGATGCTGAAGTTGGAACCAAAGACACTACCAGCCTAGGCCATAGTGACACCATGTCCCCCCAGTCAACATGCTCTAAAGATACAACACACCATTGTCACATCTATTACCTAAGTTGTTAATGACAAATGCTTAGATTGTAACTGTGGTTAGCTTTTTTCGCTATTTCAAACTAGATCAAAACCAACAATTGTGATTCTTTAAACATGGTAGACGTAGATTTGATCTGCTAAGATAACAATGCAAGAACTTATAGAGTTTATACAAGGTGAGTTTGCGGGATATACTATTAGATATTGGAAGTTGTCTGATGTTATCATACTCATCTTGGTTTTTTCACCTTGTTTGATAGCATTGTCAAACAGATATCTGATTTAGAGCAGGAAGATTTAAGTACAAAGATATCAACAGCAAATCCTTTTATCCAGAAAATTAGCAAAACCTTTTATCCAAACTAGTGAGTAGGCCAGAATATCCAAAAGATCACAAAATGGTGAAACCAAAAGATAGACATGGTAAGGTGAACCCCCTAGGGATTTGGACATGGATGACATCCTTTAGTGTACTCGTATTCAAGCTTTTTAGCCTTATCCACTCACGCATTTCTCTTCACTCTTCACAGCATGTCAAGTTACCAACCTGTAACTGCCCTAACAGTCTCTTCTTGATACAGGTCTTCCCTTCTATAGGGTGCATCTGAAGGTCTACTTTGGAGATAACCAAAGCGCCTCAAACATTGTTGTCAAGCTTCTCCCCAAGTCGTAACACCCCAACTTCTCCCATATACCCTCATTTTAATCCCATCACTCACTGGGTGGCCACATATCCACCTCAATATACAGCATGGAATGCACCTTATATCTTTTCAAAAACTTATCCAGAAATAAAGTAAAGAGATACTGATTCAATGTTGATGCTCAATGAGAGTTATTCTAATCTGATAATGAAGATACTAGCATCCCTTACACAATAGCATAGATACCTTTATCCATCAACATATTTTGCAAAGACGGTCTTCTACGCATGAGCTCATCAAATAACTTTAGTAGCCTCCCTCTCATTAGATTAAAAATCATTGTATATGAATGATGTTACAGTATCTTGCATCCTTCCATGAATATCATAAACATAATCTCACTTTTTAGTCTTCCCAACATGCAAAATTGATGTAGTTCTTACTGCAGCTTCATTGTATTGGCTCATATGTAGGACACGTCTGTATTAATACAATCTTGGATATTTAATATATACGAAGATCTGGAACCAACTTCAGTGTCCAAATAATATTGCTGGATAACCTAGCAAGCAATGCTAAGCTACCACCTTTAGGCATCTCAAAACCTCCATAGGAATACTAATAGGTCATATAAGCTCGCCTATAGTTGTCCTTTTAAAGCTTTCTTCACTTCAAATACTATAATTTTACATCAAAAAAATTACAAGTGTCATCAAGAGAATCATTTATTTTTTCCCTACATCACCTCATTATCTCTGAATTAACCCATCAAAGTAGTCTTTCCCCGTCTCATTAAAACGTCCTCTTTTACTATTAGCCTTTGATTCTCATCGGATGCATTTGATCTGATTAAGATCTAGTTTTCCTCTTATCTTAGTAAATTTATAGCCAGTCAGCTATCCCTCCTTCATTCCAAGTAATACATCAATTCCCAATTGGGTCTTGTTTGCCAAAAAATTACATCTTTAATGGCATACCATGTAGGAAACTTACAAAGACAGAAATAAACAATAACAGGATTGAAACTTTTGACATGATAAAGTTTCAAAAATGTTTTTGGGGTGAGCTCATGCCAAGAAGTGAAACCTCTTTGAAGACTTGCAGATGGATGGGATATAGATACAAATTTATACTTGCACTTTTGAGTTCTGATAAAGCTAGTTTGACAAAGGAAATCAATATATAAACTGGATATGAAAATCATAAGAATAACTCAAAGCACCATGCATCAGCACTAGAAAAACAATCCCAAAAATGGAAGAAAAAGTTACATGGTCAAAACAACCCTTGATAGATTGATGACAAAATCTAAAAACTATTTGTTATATCAAAAAAGAACATTAACAAGATTATGCTCTATGGAAAGAATTTAGTGGCTCGGATCAGTACTTTGAATTCATAGAGTTCAATAATTCTTTCATGTGTATCTTCAACTGCCCAGGTTACAAAGGCCCAAATGTACAACTTACGAGCTTTATACACCTAATATTTCCCCATGCCCGCTAAATTTGAAAGCATGGCAGCATTTCATATTCTGATGTCCTAGCATACCTTCATAGAGAACAAAACCCAGAACCTCTGGTGCATCATTTTTAAGTGCTCAGCTATAAGGCTCCAAACACCTCAAAGTTACCGTGTCTGCTATTAGTTTTCTTCATGCACACTAAATTTGAAGCCTGCATTTCTTATTTTAATGTCCTGGCACACCTGTGCAGAGACCAAAGCCCTAGCTTCTCAAGGGGAGAACATAGTTGATCAAAGATCTCAGATTTTGTAGCTTCCATGTATATTTTCTTGTTTAAAAGCACCTCACCAATATTCAAGCAGTAACCTAGAAATTGTTAAGAAAACAATAACGATATCACAAAGAGAACATACCACAATTCCATCTAGCTGCCGATTGGAAAAATGCTTCATCCCGTTTGATACATGTCGGATGATATGCCTTTGGACAACCCCTACACCAAATAAAGTTCCATAAAGACAACAGATGATTCATTGCTTCACTAATTCACAAAGTACAGCTCCTACCAAATTTTACACACAACATATAAAGCAAAAACTTGATCTCATTAATAACCAAGAAAATTCACTTCCTTGTATGAAACTAACAATCGCATGCATTTCAAATAAATCAATTATACCAAATAAAACAACAATTATCCTCAAGACAAGGGCAAAAAAACAATACAAACCGGCGATCGCAGAGCACAAGACTCCCACCATCAAAGCAAATAAAACAAACATCCTCCTCCTCCTCCTCTTCTTTGTTCTTCTTAGCAGGAGGATGTTTCGCCTGAGCCTTAGGCGGCCGCCCTCGCTTCTTCTTCACCACTTCCCCTCCCCCTCCCCCTCCCCCTCCGCCGCTACCTAACTCCACCTTCCCTCCTCCATCGGCGACGGCCTGAACAACATCCATCGCACCACGGACCAGCTTCGAATCATCGCCAATCGGTTGACTCTTGTCAACGCTTTGACCCTCACCTCCCAAATTCTGACCCTCCATCATTTCAAAAAAAAATCAACAAAATTGAATCAAACTAAAAGTCAGTTCATAATCATCATCACCACCACCTCCGACACCACCGCCCAAACAAGTCAACAAACCCTAGATTGTTAAGTTGACCGGCGTGATTGCGATGAAGACGAAACTCCGGAGAGAGGGGATGATTGGTCCGCCGACTGGGGCTGAGTTTGTGGGTGTTGGGTGGGGTTTTACCTTTCGGCGACACGACTTAATCTTACACGAAAGAGAGAGAGAAAGTGAGAGCGTTGAACGCGGCCCCTGTCGATTCTTTCTTATGCTTGCCAACACGTGATCGGTTTCCATTTCTCATTCAACACTCCAACCCCTTATACTTCTCATTAATGCTCAAAATACCCCCTCTATTATTGAACTTACATCAAAATAGACCTTTAAGTTTGTTAATTTCTACCACAATATATAATTTCAACTCATGCATTATTTTATCTTGTCTTTGTTGAATTACTTTTCTTTAATAAAAACTTTATCATGTTTCATTTACACCGTTAACTTTTGAAGTTTAAGAAACACGTATGATTTTGTTATACGTCTTTTCTACATGTGTCTTGATGTACATTTTGTGTTTCTAAATTCTTAAATATTTCGTATGGACGAACATTGGACTCTAATCAAATACGAACGGTTCTTATTGTTCTGAAACTTTTTCAGATTATGTATGATTCTTTCCTACTGCATCCAATAAATTACGCATGGTCCTAATGCCCTTTTGTTTTAAACGAGTGCCTAATTTCATAGGTGTTATATTTGTCTTTTGTGTTAAACCATTGCATGACTACGGACTAATCGATTTGTGTGGTCCTGTGTAAACTATGACAATCTGCCTTTTTCATTTATTACATGTTTAATTTGCACCGTTTTTCTACTGTTTGGCAAGTATTGATCAATGTCGCATCATGAATAGTATCAGATTCAATTGGAAGGTAAGTAATTCTATAGTTGTGTTTTACACGCAGTATCTTTCTTATCCGTTTCTTTCTATTGGTAGTCCCATAACAATATTCAAAATGACAATCTAATGAACGTGTACCTAAATCAAAAGAGTTCACGACAATTTGCTTTATTCATTCACTGATAACGACTTCCAATTTCGCCTTGTTGTCGACCTGTGCGGTGTTCTTTTCATCTTTATGAACTGTTACATCCTTAGCATCAACTTGTTTCTGGTTCAAATCATAGATCATCAGCTTAATTCTATTAATTTATGGATAACAAAATCGGTTTTTGCGGGGATTCTACTATGAGGAAGATTTATACAATTTAGACTTTATTTGTATTTTTACTTTTAAGAGTTAGAAATCATTAAATTTGAAACATGTAAAAATTGGGCATATATAGGGGATAAGCAGTCGAGCGTGTGACGATATTTGATATGAGAACAATAAATGAGAAGGAGAAATAAGGGTGTGACATATATCGTGATATGTTGCTTATTGTTTTACAAGATCCACAAAATTCAATGTGTCATTTATAGGTATTCAACGACTTCAATGGATATTGCGGGTCACGCTTTCTATATTCAAGCATAAACTTAAATCATCTTCTTCAGATTTCGCTATGATCAGTTATTTATTGAATGTTTTCCTGCAATATGATAGTTTGGAAAGTTTGTTTATAATAAAACTCACTAGAAATACAGTTGCATGTCTCGTAAACCTTAAAATATTGGTAAACTAAACATACCAGCATATCTCATTCAAAGTTAGGGTCTCATGGGTATGATCGTTTTCCTTTATCACAAAAGGGAGACTATATTGTTTCTGTATAGAACCGCAACTTGCCGAAAATTGCAAAAAGTCAAGGGTGAATTTCTGAATGTTTTGAATATATATATATATATATATATATATAGAGAGAGAGAGAGAGAGAGAGAGAGAGTACATCAAATGCAACTCATCACATTTGTACAACCAATGCAACCCAATCAATTGAGATATTTATGGAAAAGATTTTGAATGTTTTATATATATATATATATATAAAGAGAGAGCGAGAGGACGTTTCAAATGCAACTCATCACATTTGTACAACCAATGCAACCCAATCAATTGAGATATTTATGGAAAAGATTTTGAATGTTTTATATATAATATATATATATATATATAGAGAGAGAGAGAGAGAGAGAAGACGTTTCAAATGCAACTCATCACATTTGTACAACCAATGCAACCCAATCAATTGAGATATTTATGGAAAAGATTTTGAATGTTTTATATATATATATATATATATATAGAGAGAGAGAGAGAGAGGGCGTTTCAAATGCAACTCATCACATTTGTACAACCAATGCAACCCAGTCAATTGAGATATTTATGGAAAAGATGAGAGTTCATTTATTATTATTTGAATATTTATGGAAGATGACTAAGGTTCATTAATTATAATCAATACTTAATATTAAGAAACAACCAATACTTTTATGAAATCACATATTCATCAAATTAAATGGACGGTTGAGATTGAGTTGTATTAGTTGTACAAATGTAATGAGTTGTATAATAAATCACCTATATGTGTGTGTGTGGTTGGGTTTCTGTGAGAATGAGAGTTAAAGTGAGAAGTGAAAAAATGGATCTCCACTCTTGGATGCACATCACGATGAGTTGCACCATATCAATCCCCATATTAAGCACGACTCATGGGTGGGTTAAGATTAAAATTTGATCAAGGGTCCAAATCCCTTTTTATGTTTATCATATTGACTCTCCTTCTCACACGATGTGGGCAAAGGATCGTGTAAGAATGAGAGGTTAAGGTGAGAAGCATAAGAAGGGATCTGGACCCTTAATCACCTTTAATATGAAACTCATCCATGAAGCACGCTTGATATGGGAATTGATCTTGTGCATCTCATCCTGATGTGCATCCAATGGTGGATATCTCGTATTATGTTTTGAATGTATATATATATGTGTGTGTGTGTGTGTGTGTGGGGGGGGGGGGTAGGTTTGTAACACCCCAAATCTATATTTGCATAAAACCACATATTCTATTTAACATCAAATACAAATATACACATTAGTCCCAATATATACAAAATGCTACATACAAAAGTAGCAACAAATTTTTCACTTACACCAAGTACATGACTTGCATATATAACAAGTTCTCAAGTACATACAAAATAACAGCTTCCCAATATTCATATATGTAAAACAATCATAACTTCTTCACATCTTTCCGTTTCCCTTGCTCTCCACATGTGTCCTACCTGTGATGTACATTTTTAAAACAAAATGAGGGTTAGACCAAGGTCCAGTGAGAAATCTCTTTTGATTGCTATTACAGGGTGAAAATCACCAAAAATGTTTTTAGAAGTCCATATTTGTATTAATAGCAAATAAACAATGTTATATTGAAACAAATCTCTTTGTCGCATCATACAGATGAGACCAAAATTTCTCGCATCACAAGGAGGAGATAACCCCATTTCCTCGCATCAAACAGATGTGATAACTCATTTTATCGCATCTAACACATGTGATAGACACCCCTTGTTACACCAGGCAGACGCGATAAATACCTTTGTCGCACCACACAGATGTAGTAAATACAACTTGTCGCATCATAAGGAAGCGATATCCCAACTTGTCGCACCTTAAGGATGCGAGAACCCAATTCATTGCATCACCAGGATGCAATAAATACCTGTTGGTCCCAAAAGGGTCTACAAGAATACTAAACAGTTTGTAGAAGGGGGGGATGAATACAAACACAATTTTCAAATTTAAAATATATAT